AAAGCAGGATATGCAGACCGTTACGGGGCTGCTAACGACCATCGCTAATGACAGCCGACTGTGCGGCAAAGGCAGTTCTAGAAGCTTGATCTTCATAAGCTCACTTATACTCCACAACCTGCGTAGCGTAGGCATTGTGGAGTGTTTCACTGTAACAGATGGAGAAACTGAGGCTCCAAGAGGTGAAGTTCATTTAGCGAGTAAGTGGGAGAGGCAGATTTGAAGCCCCTCTCCCCTCCACTGCCCCCCCTCCTCTCCTCTCCCTTCCTCCCTCTCTCTCCCAATCCCGAACCTTGGGATCTCAACCATTACGGTGGAGGCGCAGTAGAGAGATGGAAAGCCATGTTAAGACATAAAGAATGACTGACCTCACTGTTACTATCAATGGCCACGTAATATGTACTCTCTCTGTGTCTCCCTGTCCTCATCTATGAAGTAGAGATAATCATGCCTACTACATAGAGTGCATTTTTAGGATTACATAATAAAATATTCAGAAATCAGTAAGAACACACTTGACTTATCAATGGTCCTCTATACATGTTATATAATTGATGGGCAGGTGGAGAGTGGCTTGATAAACAGCTGGAAATTGGAGTACTTCCTCAAGGGTGCAGGTGGCACCTGATTACGTAAGCCGTGGACATACAGAGAGGATCAGGAGACCCCTAGGTGTTTGGGGGAAAGGGGACACCAAAGGCCAACAACACCCACTTCACACTTGCCTCAGACAGATCCTAGATGCAGGTATAACACACAAGGAAAGAGTAGCACCTAGTTATTTAGTAAAACTGTTTTCTAAAAGTCAACAGCAGTGGGTAGTGCGGACTGTTTTTTCATTGATAAGGACCATCTCAAATTGCTGCTTCCACAGTGGTTCCTCAAACTGGCTGATACCCAAAATAATTGGGGGAATTTTTTGAAAATATAAACTCAGAGTTCCTAGGTAAAATATTTACATGGTGGGGAAATTTTGAGGACCACTAGAGTAAAGGGAACAAAAGCACTTGTTCACTCCTTTATCACCCAAATGTAGAGCAGTGCCCAGTATGTAGAAGATACTCGATTAGTATTTGCTGAATGAAATGTCTTTATTCCTGCCTCCTTCTAGCCTTCCTTCCCCAAACACATGGAGCATTTTCCATGAAGTACTCTGAGATGTTCTCTTTTTTAAATTAATTGATTTTATTTTTATTTTGAATTTTTTTAATGGAGGTACTGGCATTGAACCCAGGACCTTGTGCCTGCTAAGCATGCACTCTACCACTGAGCTGTTACCCTCCCTCATCTCTGAGATGTTCTGAGTATTCAGTTTGGAATCTTCTCAAGGGTGGGCTCTACGCAGAGGAAAAAGAAGATGGGATTTAAGGGGCATGGTCAGAACTTGCTTGCTCCAAAGTCTTCCTGTTAGTGTCTGCCAGAGAACTAGTGATTTCTACCACTGCCGCCCTTCCTGTGTTAGGATTTTTGTGTCTCCAGGAGACTTCAATTACTAGACGAAATACATTCTGTCAGGAGACAGAGGGTGTTGGAAAGGGAAGATGGAGAGTACCAGGAGTGAAGACACTTGATTCGTAGCTTATCACACATTAGTACAGACGACGGAATTGATGGGAAGTGGAAGTGAGAAGTCTCAGAACTTGGAAGTGGCAGGCCAAGAGGAACACTCAGGAAGCTGGCAGGCATGGGGTTAGGGAAGGCTGATGTGGGTTGAGGGCAGTGGTGGTGAGATTTGAAGAGTACAGAGAGCTATTCACACTTTAGCTTTACCTAAGTAACACTTTGTGGTGGGTCATGTGACATTAATGTACCAGTAATGCTTGGTCCACAGTTGACTCTGACCTGTTGAAATGCATTGCTGAAAATTAGCACTTCAACCCTACTGACATTTTTGGAGACCTTCTAAGTGCTAAGGTTTGAGATACAGAGATTGTTCTTCATGAAGCATGACGTTTAAAGGAGTCAGATTCACAGATTTATACCATTCCCAGGGCTTTGTAAGGGCTGGTTATTGTTTCTTGAAATCACTTGAATGGCTCTTTCCCTGCCCTTGGGCATTTTACACACACACACACACACACACACACACACACCCTGATGAATACTTGGCTGAATACTCCAAGTTCTCTCTCGGTACAGGGCTGTTGCCTTGGTATTCTGCCCCACAAACCCTAACGCCTCAAATTCTCCAGCCCCTCAGCTGTTTCCTCACCTCAGGGAGACTTCCAGAAAGGTGTCCCTTCCTTTCTCTGCAACCTGGAAATTCTCTGAGCAGTAAGCTGGGGCAGTCATTCGGCTTACCTTATCTGTTTTCTGTTTCTTGGAGATCATCATTCTTTGCTGTCTTACTTGTTTTGAGAATTGTTCTTTCACATAATTTTACCCCCCCCCCTTTTTTTAGTTGTTTCAAACAAGAGGGTAAATCTGGTTCCTATTACTTCATCTTGGCCGGAAGTGGAAATATATGAGTTATTCTTGATGCTCTTGTTTCCTACTCATTTTTGGTTTTAATTTACATTTCTCTGATGACTAGTGATGTTGAACAGTTTCATGTGGTCATCGGCCAATGGTTTATCTTTTTTGATAAAATGTCTGTTCAAATATTTTGCCTGTTTTTTAAAGTTGGATTCCTTAACTTTTATTCTTGAGTTGTCGGGATTCTTGAGTTGTATACGATGGACAGGAGTTTTTCATCAATGTGTATTTTGCAAATATTTTCCCTTAGTAGGTAGCATGTCTATTCATTTTTCTTAACCATGTCTTTTGTTAAGTAGAAGTTTAAAATTTTTTGATGAAGTCTAATTTGTTAATTTCTTTTCTATGGTTATGCATTCTGTACCATTTCTAAGATATCTGTGTGTACCTCCAAGTCCTAAGGTTACTTTCTGTGCTTTCTTCTTAAAGCATCATAGTTTAATGTTTAAGTTTAGGTCTCTGTTTTACCTCAGATAAACTTTTGTATGTGGTGTGAGGTAGGGATAGAGGTTAATTTTTCCCCCATGTAAGCATTCATCTGTTCTAGTACTGTTTATTGAAAAATAACAAATGGCTTCTATTCTGTTGTATCAACCTAATTTCTCAATCCTTTACTGGTACTATAGTCTTGATTCTGGAGCTTCATAATAAAGTTTTGAAGTCAAGAATAAGTCCTCCAACTTTATTCTTCTTTTTCAAGATTGCTTTGGCTATTTTAGTTATTTGAATTTCCATATACATCTTAAAATAAACTTGTCAATTTCTATAAAGAAAAGCTTAGTGGAATTATGATTGGAAATGCATTGAATCTATTGCATCACGGATCAGTTTGGAGAAATGATACCTTAACCACTAAGTCTTCCTACCCTTGATAGTTTAGTGTCACTATTTATGTAGGGTTTAATTTATATATTATGTAATTGAATCTTGATGGAATATACTAGATTTAATACTGTTCTAGGATTTTATCCATTTCCTCTATATGTTTATATTTATTGGCAGAAAGATTTTTATCATATTAAGTTGTCTTTTTAATGTCTACAGCATTCATTGTATATCACCTTCTTTCTTCCTGATAATGGTGATTTGTATCTTTTTTTTCTTGACCAATAATATTATTAGATATTTTTCTTTTGTTTTGACCTCTTCAAAGAACTAATTTTTGAAGAGATTATTTTGAGTAGGTTATCTCCATTTTATATTAATTTTCTATTTTAGTTCTGCTCTTTATTATGTTCTTTCTCTTTTTTCTCTATTTTTTTGCAGTTCTTTTTCTAACTTCTCAGAATTAATATTTAGCTCATTAAATTTCAGATTTTCTTCTCTTCTAATGTCAACATTTATCTCTAAATATTGCTTCAATGAATCCCACAGGTTTGATATACATATTTTCATTAGAACCTAGTTCTAATAATTCTCATCTATTAATATTTATTTATGACCAATATGTTATTTAAATATGTTTCTTAATTTCCAACAGTAAATTTTAGTTATCATTTTGATTTTGATTCTGAGCTTAGTTGCATTATAATATATGTCATATTGTATCTCTATATATCATTCCTTTGAGATTAGTTGAGATTCAGCCTGTGTATGATCAGATATTGTAACTGTTTCATGTGCAATGGAAAATAATGTATATTTTGTAGTTGTTGAGTAGTATGTAAATATATGATATATGATATAGAGGCAATATATAATATGATTATAAATAATATAAATTACAAATAATATATAACATGTTACGTATGACAGACACATTGTGTATATTACATCTTAAATATATAATATCATGTTATATTATATATAACATCATATATGCTATATGATGTAGAGGCATTATATATGATATTACATGTAACATATATAATGTTATATATGATATAGAGGCATTTTATATATATATGTGTGTCACATATGGTATAGAGGATATTTTTTTTCCTTTTTTTTTTGGTTGTTTCATACAAGATGGTAAGTCTAGTCTCTATTATTCCATCCTAGCCAGAAGTGGAAATACATGAGTCATTCCTGAGGCTTTTGTTTCCACTCATTTTTTGTTTTAATTTACGTTTCTCTGGTAACTAATGATGCTGGGCACTTTTTCAAGGGTTCATCGGCCTTTGGTTTATATACCTCTTTTTCCATTAGGTGAGATTTGTTAACTGTGTTCTTCAAACCCACTTCATCCTTCCTAATTTCTTTTTCTGACCTAGCCCCAAATTTATGCGTACCTTTGGGGACTGATATTATTCTGACCATGATCCTAATGAGTCTGGAAGCTGCACGTATACCATCATCAGGACAAAATTCTTTCTGAAGACCAGTTACCCCAAGTGAAGTTATTGCTCACTCTCCCTGCCTGAGCAGACCCTTAGTCCTGGAGGAGGGAGAGCGGGGAGCAGGAAGCGCGGGGAGCAGGGAGCGCGGAGAGCAGGGAGGGCTGGGAGAGCAGGAGGCGCCGCGAGCACCCGCGGAGCAGAGCGCCCGCCCTGCGCGCTGGGAGCGGGAGGCACGGAGGAGGTTTCGCCAGGGTGGGAGAGTGCGGGGCGGGCTCCCATATGTCCTCAAGCACTCATTAGTCTGTGACGCGGCGGGGAGGAGCCTTTCCTGATGTACAGGACGGGGAGGAACCGTTTCTGTGTTCCCTGTCCTGTTGCCTGGGCCGCGTCCAGGAGGTGCCTCCTTTTCCCACGCGGTGCCCAGCCAGGCACCTCTGGTGGGTCCTATTTTTTGTTCTCTTGACTCCGGTGCCTCTCCCTCCCGCCCCTCCAGGTGCAGCCATACTCCTGCAGAGACTGCTTCTCCAGGGGCGAATCCGATCAGGCCACTGGCCTTCTGAACATCCCTCCTTAGTTCCCACAGGTGAGAAGGCCTCGCTCTGGGCTGGCACGCAGCGCTTTTCATGCGCTTCCCGCTGCGCGCGCGCGCCTTCCTAATTAATTTCTAAAATACATTATTATCTGCTTATATTATCAGCTACTGAGGGAGTCTTTACAAATCTACCATGATTTTGATCTTGCCTTTTACTTCTTAGAGTTTGTCAGTATATCTCCAGGCTGTTACTAGCGCATGCAACTTTCAAATTATTAGGATTTCTGCTGAACTGAACATTTTATCTTAGTGAAATGCCTATCTCTGGGCACGTTTATTGCTTAACATACTCTTTCTCTATTGTCAGTGCGACTCTATCAGCATTCTCTTGGTTAGAGATACTTCTTTTATGCCCACGTGACATATGTGTAAGTGTGTAAATTGACACATATTTGTGGGCACAGTTCATAGAACTGAATTAATGATACTATTGTGGACCTTTTGTGTTGTTTTTTCCTATGGTGCTTTGGTGGTTTAGTTATTTTATACTAGGAGCTGCTCAATGCTTTGGAATTTTACGTGTGGAAATGATCTTGAGCTGGTTTGGAGGTGGAGTCCTTCAGAGGGGGATTTTCATTTGCTTCTTCCAGATTTATGGGAACTAATAGTATAGATTCACTGAAAATTAAATCTTTCTCCAGTTCTCCCAGGTAGCATGAATTCAGGCTGAAAACATTCCTAAAAGCCAGGTTCTGTTTTTTTGTTCGTTTGTTTGTTTGTTTCTTGTTTGCTTGTTTCTTCTCTCTTCTTTAAATTGATGGTTTAACCCATTGGGATACCAACTTTGGGGTAGAATATCTGTTAGACTCCTCAGCTGGGCAGGATCTGGGCTGTGTCTCTGGAGTTTTTTGAGGCCATGACTTCGAAGCTCAGTCTGTCTTCCCTTCTCCCCCTTGTCTGGTGAGTGGCTGGCTCTAGTGCTCCCTAAATGTGCCTGTGGAGTCCCTTGTCTTCCCTCTGTCGCTGGTTTGAGAATTCCTTTCTTCTTTCATGATAGCTCATTGACTCTTTTTAAGATTTTTGTCTGTTTTTACTTATTTTCAACAAGAGGACCTATTCAAGTGTTTAGTTCATCGCTTTACTGGAAACAATCTAAATTTAGTAGACAGCACATCTAACTCTGTTAGGCTGCTTAGTTATGCTCTTTTTGCCCTCTTGAGTAATTATATATCTCAGTACACTATAACTGAGAAAATTTGTTTTCTTTAACTGAATTCCATAAAGAGAAGTTGGGAGGGCGAAAGGCTTTCCTATGTGGTAACTGTTTTAGTAACATTTTTAGCTTGTATCAGTTGTAAAAGAGGACACTACAATGTTTTGAAGAGGGTACTACAGACAATTTACATCTGTCAACTAGAAACTGCTTGGGAAACTTGACTTTTTTTTATTATTATTTTATAGCTTTTATTTCCCTTTAGATTATATTATAGCTTTTATTTCCCAGAACTAAAATCACACAAACAAGATGTGGTGAGTTGATTGGTTGCCCCACCCTCTGAAGATATGTTTACCTAGAACCTCTAAATGTGACTTTATTTGAGAAAAGGGTCTCTGAAGATACAATGAAGTTAAGAATTTTAAGATGAAATTATCCAATTATCCAGGTAGACTCAACCCTAAATCCAATGGCAAGTGTTTTTATAAGAACAGAGAAAGACACAGACAAGAAGAGGAGAAACAGAAGAAGGTGATATAAAGATGGAGGCAGAGACGAAAGTGACAAATTTACGAGCCAAGGAACTCCCAGGGTTGCCAGTACTGAAGCTAGGAAAGAGGCAAGAGCAGATCCTCCTTTAGAGCCCCCAGAAGGAACCAATCCTGCTGACACCTTGATTTGGGACTTCTGGCCTCTAGAACTGTGAGAGGATACATTTGTGTTGTTCTAAGCCACCCAGTTTGTCGTGCTTGGTTATGGCAACCCTTGGAAACTCATCACCAAGTTTGTAGACACTCTCTGCTCCAATAACTTTAAAAATCCTGCGATCTCGTTTCCCATCAAGTATGATTAAGGAATGACAATCAGGTGAGGGAACTACTGGGGAAGTCCCCTTCCAACTTCAAGAGTTTCCTGGTTGTGAGGATTAAATTCAGTGCATGCTTAAAGCTTTGAACGAGTGTACAATCTTTCCTATTACCATTTCTTTTTTAGCATGGTGAGGATTCAGGCTTAGCACTTGCCATCAGCCTCCTCATCTTCAGCTATGACAGTGTTTTTAATGTTTGACCCTTCCCCATGCCCCTTCGTGCCTCTCCCCTTTTCTTCCATAACCATTGAACTAAGACTCTCTGAAACTTCCCAGAGTGACTCTGAACTTGGCAGAGAAGTAATTTTCATCCAGCAAAGGCCAACATCCAAATAGCTCCTGGAATTTTGTACAACAAATTATAACTTAGGACTCAATTCTACCTATTTTGTTTACCATCATGGCAGCTCTCAGAGGTGGATATTTTCATTACTATTTGATTAGTAAGGGCAGTTTTTCTCCAGGTAGAATCAAAGACCTACCTATGGAGCTTACCATAGGTACCATAATTTATTGGCTCATTCATCTATGAGTATTTTCAATATTTTGTTGTAGTTGACGTTTTTGGACACATGATAAAGTTCTTCTTTAAAAAAACTTACACTAGAGTAGAAGTAGAGGCGAAGGATACTCACGTTGAAAATTTGCTAGATGCTGTCAAATTTTCCCCTAAAGCTACCAATTTCTACTCCTGTGAGTATTATGAGCAGACACCTTTCCCAACATGCTCACCAACTCTGAGTAACATTCATCTTTAAAATTCTGTCCAACTGAAGGGTGAAACAAGACTCAGTCTTGTTTTAATTGATGGGAGGAGGGCAGAGGAGAACGTTAGGGGAAATTTTGACTTTTCTCTCTTTATGTCTGTTGGGAGATGCATCTGGATGGCCTGAGTGTCCATTTCTTTCTGCCAGCCTGAGCTGGCCGGAGCCAGTCTGCAAAGGGGAGGCTTTTGGCCGATGTTAGCATTCTGGGTATGCAGAGGCTCTTCAAAATTGTTTCAGGGTCTTCCATATGCAGACTTTGACCTTCAGTGTAGATGCAGGCCCTCAATAGGCCGTCCCTTCTCTGCTGCCCATTGGCCATTGTGCAGACAGACCACCTATGCCCGGCCCAGGCTGTGGGGAAATGAGAGCTAGAGGGGCGGGAGCGCCATGTGCTCTGTTTCTGCTCTGTGAGCTTTTCTCTAACAGACCTTCTGTTATAACCATACTGTGTAGTGCTAGTGCTGTGTGTCTGTGACCCTCTAGCCTGACAACATCTGTAATGTTTTCACCTTATACAAACAGAAACTGCATTTAAGTGTCACTTTAGTACTTCTTATTTTTCCAGTAGTGAGAACAATAATTTATGTTGCTCACGGAGCCTGTGGGTCAGGCATTCCCAGTCGGAGCACAGTGGCAGGGACAGCTTATCTCTGCTACGTGCTGTCTGGAGCCTCAGCAGGGAGACTGGAGTAGCTGGGGATGGGATCGTTGGAAAGCTCACTCCCTCACATGCCTAGGATTGATGGAGACTGAGCCCTCAGCTGGAGTTGCCAGACACCTACACATGGCGGTTCCTTCACGTGGTGCAGGCTTCTTCCTAATGCAGTGACTGGCTTCCAGGGACAGGCCTCCCAGAGAGAGGGCCAGTGGGAGCTGTATTGTTGTAGACCAAGCTTTGGAAGCCACAAAGCATCATTTCTGTCAGATACAAGCTGGGGGGTGGGTGGGACACAGACCTGAGATCTCAGTGAGAGGAATGTCAGTCACATTGTAAGAACAGCCTGTGCGATGATGTGGCCATCTTGGAAAATATAATCTGCCACTTTCCCTAACTCCTAGGAACTTGTTCTTCTAATTTCCAAAATGGAAGCTACTTGGTCAAGTATTTCCCATCAGAAAAACATAATGTGAGATTGCAACTGCAGGAATGATGAGAGGATCACACATTTATCTCCCTCAACTAGAGTCTCATTCTAGTAACTATTTAATCATATCTCCTTCATTTAGTTTAGCTGCACCAGAAGTAAATATCCTAAGAAAAATGATTTCCCTTATATTTATTAGGACCTTCAAAATCACTGACCCTAAATCTGACCACACACAAAGTTAGTATATTCCTCTTAATGCTTTCTTGGTACTTAGGATGGTCACCAGGAAGTTGAGTGGCTAGAAATGTCTCTACTGCAGTGGAGGTGAGGTTTTCTAGGTGTCAGACCTGGACACGAGACCTGACCGTCTGAACAGGAGAACCACAATTCTTGCAAGTGGTGCTCCTTAAATATTAGTGAACATCATGTATTCTTCATTGAGTTTAGTTCTGGAAGGATTGTATCAGATCCTTTTTTCTCACAACTTTACAATGAATTTCTAATCCTGGAAATTATATTTATGCTTATTCAATGTTGACCCTTTTTAAATGAAAAATGCTGCCTCTCCATGTTTACATAAGAACTTCAGTTCTACGTAGTTTAGAAACTAGAAATGGAACCGGCCTCAGAAGGAAAGAAGATAATACCCAGAGCCAGCATAAGTGGGGAGCAGGGATAAATTCTCAGGCTGGAGAAACCCTGCTCTTATATTCACATGCCAGATGGTGCCTGGCCCTGTGCAGATCAGGATGTCGTGTCAAGAAACTGTGCTCTTGAAGGGGAGGAGGGGAGGAACCCAAACAACTGGCCACAAACTTCTGCTTTTGAGGCTGCAGTTCTGCAACTTAAGAAAAATGAATTGTTTTCCACCCCGTAACTTCTCCCTCACTTCATCAGTAGCAGGGTAGGGCTGTATCATCATTTTCCTTTAATTCACTGCCTAACTTCATTCCCCAACATACACGATCCAGCCAATCCTGGGTTGACTACAGCCATCTGCACAGGGTGTGGGGAGCAAGTAGAGGTTGGGATGGTAGAGTTCAGCTTCACGGCAGCCAGGTGTCACAACAGAGAAAGAGAACATGCGTCTGTCCTCATCCAATCCAGTTTCAGTCTACGCATCGCAGGAAGAGGACACTGGTGCTTTATTAGGAGAGAAACTGAATCAGGTAATGTGCTTTATTGACATTGGATTGTTTGGAAAATAGTAGTATGAAGCCATTTAGCCTTTAAGTATTAACTTTTTAATCCACAAGTTAACTTTTTAAAGTGTGGCTCAAAATGAATGATTACTGATTACCTGATATTAGTATAGTCAAATCCTGCTTTTTTTGTTGAATGTATAGTATATTTTTTTCTAACCTTTTACTTTCTACCTTCCTGGGTCATATCTGAAATGAACTGATTATAGATAGCATATTGTTGGATCATGGTTTTTCATTCCCTTTGCAAATTTCTGTCTTGGATTTGCTGTATTTAGACTACTTACGTTTAAGGTAATTGCTGATATATCAGTGCTTATATCTCACATTCTGTTTTTTGTTTTGTCTGTTTTCTGTTTCTTGTGCCTTGGCTCCTCTCTTTGTGCCTTCCTTTATGTTGCTTGAACATATTTTAAGATTCCGTCCTGCTTGGAACTGGGAGCTGTTGAGTAATTTTTTTTTTTTACCGTGGTAAAAAAATGCATAACATAAAATTCACAATCTTAACCATTTTTAAGTGTACATTCAGTGTCATTAAATACATGTACAACGTTGTGCAACAATGACCACTTTTCCAGAACTTTTTCATCATCCCAAATGGAAACTATGTATTCATTAATCAATACCTTTTTCATGGGCTCAAATAGAAACTATGTACGCATTAAGCAATAACGCCCTGCCTGCCTCCAGCCCTTGGTAATTCTGTTCTACGGTATCTCACCTAAGTGGAATTGTACAATATGTGTCCTTTTGTGTCTGGCTTATTACACTTAGCATGTTTTCAAGTTACATTCACATTGTAGCATGTATCAGAATTTCGTTCCTTTTTAATGGTTGAATAATATTCCATTGTGTATATAACACATTCTGTTTATCAGCTCATCTGTTGATGGACACTTGGATAATTTCCACCTTTTGGCTGTTGTGACTAATGATGCTAAGAATATTGGTTTACAAGTATCTGTTTGAGTCCCTGCTTTAAATTATTTTGGTTACGTATCTATGAGTGGAGATGCTAGATCATCTTGAATAAGTTTCTGAACACAAGAAGTTTTCCAAATATTCTATGACAGCAAAGAAACTGATTTTCCCAGAACTCAGAAAGGACAGATGGAGACAGTGGTACATAATGCCATAGAGGACTTACTCCTTGAATTCTCCTTTATAGCATGATGTCAAGGAATTCCTCAAAGTTCTTAGTTTCTACTGTTATCATCTCCTGAGCCTTTCAGCAGTGTGGGTGGTGAGGGGAAGGTGTTCTTGGGACTAGCAACACCTGAGGATTCTGTTTATGCTATTTGGTGGCTCAGGATCTGATTGGAGGAAGGCAAAGTTTTTCAGGAAAACTTTTTCAGGACATGGTTTGGAGAAGGCTTATAAATTCCATAAAATTAGAGTTTATGGAATCAAGACTTAGAAAGAATTCAGTTTCATTAACATAGAAACTGGGTTTCTCTTACCAAAGGTGCCACTAACTGGGCACGTAACCTTAGAAAAATGACTTAACCGTATTCAGCCTGGTGTGGGAGGGTTGAACTGGATAATATGGAGTCTCTTTCACCCCTAAGCATCTATGATTTTAAAATTTTCATGAATTTATTTTTTCCCTAGATCAAATTTTTGTTTGTACAGAGCCTTGATTGTAGGTCCAGGCGTGGTTGATTTATGGAATGAGATAATGTTAAATCCCAGAAGCTCTTGTTTGCATCTGTCCTGCCACATATTTACTTAGCTAAATATACGTACCCTGAGTTAATCTGACAGATTTACTCCTCAGGGCATGACTTTTACTCCTGCTGAGCATTACTGGATATTGTCGCCCTGTAGATCCTGCTGTATTTTATGTTATAAAACTTCAGAATAACAATGATTCTCTTAAAACCCATTCACTCTCCTTAAACGTCTTCCACAAATATCCTCACTCTTCACAAACATCCGGCTCTTTCTATCAACCTTCCTCTGGTTTTGATTAAATTTCCTCTAGAAATTATAGTAATATAGATTTAGAAGCGACTTGGCCCTCATTTCCCTCTGAGCACTGTCTTAAGTGTCGCTCTTTGTTATTTTTATAGCATTCAGTGTATCCATTCATTCCTTCCCAATGCTGCACCGTGCTAGGTGTGGGGGATATGGTGATGAACAAGACAGGCTGTCCCCTGCTTTAATTTAGCTTAATTTCTAGGGACAAAGACAGACATTGAATAAGTAATAATAAGTGTGCCAGATGTTAAGGAGGAGACATGCAAAGTGCTACGTGCAATAGGATTTTTTTTAATTGAAATATAGTCAGTTACAATAGGACCTTATATTGGGATTTAAGCAAATCTGTGGATATCAGATATTTCTAGAAGAAATGGCATTTACATTGAAATCTGAGTAGTGAGTTGGAGTCAGTCAGGCAAAGATGGGGAGGGAGAATGTTCAAGCAGAAGGAAAAGCTAAAGTGAGAAAGTCCATGGAACATTAGAAAAAGTATATGGTCACACTGGCCAGAGTGGAGAGAGGGATGAAAAAGATTGGTAGGAGATGAGGCTGGAGAGGAAGGGACAGGTCTGATCAGGATGAACGTTATAAGCTGTCCGAAAGACTTTGGACTTCATCTTCAAGGCAGTTGGAAATTATTAAGTGTTTAAGGCAGGAAAGAGGGTCAAATCTGACATTTACAAAGCTCATTTGGCTGTAACATAGCAAGTGGGTTGGAGGCAGGTTGGCAAGAGGAGAGGCAGAAAGCTAAGGATGTTCCTGCTGCAGTTGGATGAGAATGATGTGGGCTTGGACCTGGGCCCTCTATTCACTTGGAGGTAACCGGGTTTGGTGTTTTTGTAGAAGCTGGGGGAGAAGGGAGGACAAAGGGTCCAGAATGGTTCTGTGAAGACCAAAAGGAGAGTTTCCAAAAGGAGAACCCTGTCAACCAGAGCTGAGATGTCCAGTAAAGGGGTGACTAAAAAGCATTGTTTGAATTTTGTGATGTTGAACATACTGCTGAGCTTAGGGAGAACACTTCTGGTGGAAAGAAGAGGGTAAAATTCATATGGAGTGGCTTGATTGGGCAATGGCAAGTAAAAAGAAAGGAAGAAGAAAGACAGTAAGTGAACACTCCTCTTCACTGGTTTGGAAGAGAAAGGATCATTGCTGGGAGACAATAGTGAGTTAAGAATGGTAGTTCTTAGAATGGGAGAGGCTTGCATATATTTAAATGCTAAAATGATGTAGCATGTAGAGGGGAGAGTGGAGAGAAAGGGACAAAGCACAAGGTTCCAGAGACAACAGATTGGAGGAGAATTTCTGGAACCAAGGTGGAGGAATCGGTCACTTGTCACACTTTGCCAACATTTTCCAACCAGATATCTGTCTCCTTCACTAGGCTGTGAACTTCTGAAAATCAGGGACTGTACCTTCTTTGATTTTATATCATCAGCACGTACTTTAGGGCTTAACACCGAAAGGTGCCCTGTGGGGGTTTAGCTGCACTGATGGATCATTTGTGGCAGGAAGGGCAGTTTCCCTTAGGAATATAGGCTAAATGCCTTGACACTTGGAGGATTGGGATCAACCTGCGAGTGGGTTTCTGGAATAGATTTTAAAAATGAGTGAGAGCTGTGGAATGGCAAAGTTGTCTGACCAGCTGTGTAGCTACTAACTTGGGTTTGTGCCTGATGGAAAGGCAATGGCTGAAATTAGTCAAGGGAAGATAAAGAGCAACCTATAAATGTATAGGTCAAGAAGAGCTAAAAAATAACTCCCTCCCTTTTGGTTTTCTCCTTGGTCCAGAAAGGAAGATGAACAATCCAACAACACTTCACAGGAAAAGAAACAAGGCTCACTCCTCTTGAGTCCTGTTTTCATCAGCTCAGATGCAGCTATCCGCCCAGGCCATGAACAGAACAGCAGAGAGCTGACCTCTCATGTTTCTCCATCCAGTTACTCTAACATCTTGTACAAATATGGGAGTGAAACGGATTCAAGTGAAACAATTACATTAGAACGTTTCTTCTGTGCTGGCAGAGGTGCCATTACGCTTGATTAGCAAAGGCTATCCCCGTATTATTTTCCTGAAATTTCAAAATCATTCAGAAATGTTTGATATGTGCATGGCATCCTCCTAGGAAGGAGAAAAGGAGACAAAAGTGGTCTTCCAATATTTGCAGGAAGGGAAAAATGGAAGCAGGATTCAAAGGACATGGGTATTTGGTTGCAGAAGCGAACTTCTAAATAAGGAAATATGCTAAGGACCTGTTTGTTGTACCAATATTTATTAAACATGTACTGTGTGCCTCTGGTCTAGGCCCTTCTTGCCAGATATTGGCAATAAAAAGAAGATGCTGCTTGTCTTTCAGAGCTCATAATTTAGAACGCCCAGTCTTAGAATGAATTCAATTTCACTAATGCTGTTCAGGGAGAGGGTTCTCTGGATTCTAGCAAGTGGGGCGTACACATATAGACCTACTTGTGCATGGGCAGAAAGGATGATTTTATTAGTACAGTAGCCTATAAATCCCAGGGCAGACTTCTTTGATGAAAGCCAGATTGTAGAACATGGCTGAAGACAAAGGCTTTCGGAGGGTCCTCAGTCTTACAGCCTGGATTTCTGTTGAGGGAGTGGCATGTTCCAGTGTGCCTGCTGAGATATGATGGGGCTTGCAGAGGAGACCTTGGGTCCAACCTGTAGCCTAAAAAAGAACCCCAGCCATCCCCCTTCACTGTGCCCACTCTTCAGTGGTCCTGGCCACTCATGAACTTGACCTGGTCAATGCCAGTGTCTGGCCATTCAGTTTAGTCTTCATCCCTTCTCCCGTATGCCGTAGGAACACAAGGAGGAGTGTTTTTCCCTATCCTGATAGGAGAGGGAGAAGCCTGTGAGATATCCCTGGCTTCTCCCAGCAAATCCCTCTTCTTACTTGAGGAGGTTTTGCTCTCTGGAAACAAATGAGTGAGACAGACAGTCTCTATAATAAGATCAGTGAGGCCAGGGAGACTGGGAAGTAGTAACATTTAAGGTCAGGCAGAAGAGAAGGAGAAAAATAAAACAAAGCAACCAGAACTAGAACAGAACAAAGAGCGGAGGGCTCTGGAGACCCAGGAGAGAATATGTTACACTCTCAGATTTCTAGAAGGTAGGAAAGATTCAAGAAGGAGGTAGGCAGCTGTACCGGGGGGTAATAGCAAGGTCAAGGTAATAATGAGGTAAGGGCTGACCAATAGTCATCCCCCTTCACAGGGTGGAGGCTACTGATGGCCTTTGAGCCAATGGATTGGTAGGAGAAGCCAGGTGCCAGAGGGGGAAGAATACAGGTAGGAAACTCAGAGGAGGAGGAAAGGTAGCAAGAAACTTGATAGATGCGGGGAGAAGAGAGAGGACAGTTGCTAGAAGACGCCATCATCCCAGGGAGGGTTTTATGGGGACAATGTTTAGAGGCCTAGAGACAAAGGGGATCATGTGGGCAAGAGTGGGGAGAATCAGATCTTCCCCTGGAGAGGGCTGGAGGACCACTCTGGGGGACGGAGCATTCTGTTACAGGATATTTTCACCCAAGAGTTTGCGGTTGAGACAATTAGGACACTATGGGATTGATTTTCTGGGAGGCACAGTTGAAAAGTGTATATTCTGAGCCCTTGCATGTCTGAAAAGGTCTTTATTTTATAGTCTTACTTAATAATTACAATAGGCTATAGAATTCTCGCTCAACATTGTGCAAACATCCTTCTACGTGGTTCCCTGGTATTTAGTTTACAAATGCCAGCAGGGCTCTTTTCCCTTATTAAGTGCTTGACTGGGGGAGGCTTTTGGTGCAGGTAATAGGGTGGAGTGTGGGTGTGGTCTGGAAGCTTGTAGGATTTCTTGTAGGATTTTTTTTCATCATTTGTAAATTTCATCAGATTATCTATAGTATGCCTTTTTTCAATACTCCTGCCCCACAATCTTTAGATTCTTTAAATCTGGAATCAAGTTTATCTTCCACTAAGAAAAAGTTCTATTATTTCCTTAATCTTTTTTTTTATTTTGTTTTTTATTGAAGTGTACTTGATTTATAATGTTAGTTTCAGGTGGACAGCAAACCAATTCAGTTTTACATATACATACATATATTTTTTTCAGATCCTTCTACATTATATGTTATTACAAGAAATTAAATATAGTTCCTGGTGCTATACAGTAGGTCCTTGTTGTTTCTCTGTTTTATATACAGTAATGTGTATCTGTTAATCCTAAACTCCTAATTTATCCCTCCCCCACCCTCTCCTCTTTGGTAACCATAGTTTGTTTTCTATGTCCATTAATCTCTTTTTGGTTGGTAGATAAGATTTGTATTATTTTTTTAGATTCACATTGTCTTTCTCTGACTTACTTCACTTAATATGATCATCTCTAGGTCCATCCATGTTGCTGTAAATGGCAGCATTTCCATCATTTTTCATGACTGAGTAATATTCCATTGTATCCTTAATCATTTGTTCTCTTTTCTCCTTCTGGAATTCCAAGGTGTTTTGTACTTATAGTCCCCTCTAGGTCCAATTTTCTTTGACCTAGAGGGGACTTTGATCTCCTGACCTCACTCTTCCTTATAGCCCATCCTGGCCCAAACACACCTCTGTCCCTTGTGTTTCCCAAATACCATTCACTTTATATGGGCACTTTGTGAAGGTTTAAGGAAGGGGTGACATCACAGCCATCCAGAGAGCACATATTGTTCTTAAAAGTCCCTTGGCCACCCCATCACCAGGGATTTCTCACCCACCATCTTTCTCAGCAGGGCCCCTCTCCTGTCCTGTTGAGAGGTTGTTGGTTCACAAACTGGTCCCATACAGGGAGGACAGGGAGAGACCAAAGAAAAAGGCAGACCACTCTGAATTAGTAGGTGGCAGGTTTAATAAGGAAGGAAACTTACATAGGAGTCTTGCCTTGGGTGACTGCAAAATGAGTAGACCTCCACACCTGCCCACCAGAATCTTAAAGTCTATGTGGAGGCTTTCACTGATTTCAGTCACATATTCAGTTCCGATGGTCTCAACACCCTACTGTCTCAAGGCTGCGTCCTTGGCGTAGCTCCCACTATAGGAACAGTGGGCAAATGTACATTCCAAGGATGGGGAGGGGATGAGGAGCCTCCCATTGGCCAGATCCAGCTCAATCAGTGATCAGGTCCTCTTGATGACTTCCAACACAGCCCTGTCTCTCTTCTGATCTTCCACTTCCAGCCTGTTTGTGCTAACTCCGGTAGCTCCTTCTCCTGCATTCTAAGAGTTTCCTTTGTTTTTCTGTCAACGCTTAAGTAAGTCAAAAAGGTATTGCTAAACCTGTTCTCTCCTCAAGAGAAGTCAGTAGATTGGATTTGGGTTCCTGCCATTAAAATGGCCAATTTTATAGTTTGATACACTAATGAAAAAAATGGAAGTTCTTTCTTGTTTTATGAAATCCATCTTGGGGAAGGTTATCTTTGCTCTGATTGCTCAACTTGTTTTGTTTTGTTTTAGTTTTCCCCAACGGCTGATTTTTCTCCATCCTCTTTGATTTCTCTAATTTTTAAACAGAGGTCTGGGTCCCTCTGGCAGTTAATGTTATTCCCTCAGCAATTGTTCAGTTCCTTTTCGTGGTCTCCTGCTTCCTTTCCCTCCCTTAGGCTTGTATAGAATTTATTAAACATGTAATAAATATGCAGCTACACAACCTCCAGCAATAAAATATGGACTCTAAAGGGCGCTATTCAGACATGAACTAACTTGTGCTCCTCTCTCAGATGTGTGCATCACTGTTGGCCAGGAGTAAATAACAGACTCCTGATTGTCTAGTCTTCTTTGTTTACCTGGTTTAGGTTTGTTTTGCTGATGCATCCATTCCTTATAGGATACCTTTGGGTGCCAGTTCACTTGGGTTGTCTGTATGCTTGTATTTGGGCTGATAAATCAATTACAAAACTTCATGGTTGCTTAGCGTGCAACTGGCAATGTCTGGCTGACTAATCACTCTCTAAAAAACACTGCAAAATTATCTAGTACCAAAAGCTGTGCTATCACAACAGGAACTCTCGCATTTGCTACTGGGAGCATAAGTTGGTACAACCTCGTCAGAAAATTGGTTGACAGTGTCTACCGAAGTTAATGTTTATGTACCATTTGACTCAGAAACACAACTCTGGAGATGCTTATGTCCACCAAAAGTTATGCACAAGAATGTTTATAGCACATTTAATCAAATATCCAAAACAATAAAAAAATCCAAATATATAACGATAGTAGGATAAAGAAAATGTAGTGTGTTTACACAATAAAATACTACACAGCAATGAAAAGGAACACATTGCTGCTATGTGAAACAATATGGGTAAATCCCACAGTCATGATAGTGGGAGCAAAAGCCAAATATATAACTACATGATTCTTTTTATATAAAATTCAAGAGTAGGCATAACTAACCCATGGTGATAGAGTTTAGAAGGGTGGCTCCTGTTTGAGTGGGTATTGCCTGGGAGGGAATTTTCTGGAGTACTAGGAATGTTCTGTACCTTGACATGGAGGTGTTACGTGAGTATATACCTATGTACATTCAAGATTAGTGCACCTTACTTACTCTAAGCTATGCCTCAATTGAAAAAATATCATGTGATGTCTTCTAGAACTAGAGAAAGAAGACTTTGCAAGACCTTCTTGATTTGGGGAGGAAAAGAATACTTTCAGGGCCAGTTGTTAACTAGAAGAATTGCCTCATGTAGAAGCCCTTTCTCCCTTTATCCTATTAACAGACATTTCTCCAACTAGAACAGGTGTGGTTAAAACTGGCCTCTTGGACTTTACTGGGAATTTGTCATTGAGTTTGCTTATACATCACGTTAGCACCATGGTGAATACTAGTCCCAAGTCACATTCCCTGCACTCCAGAAGTATACAATCTGATAGATAAGACCAACACAAATAAAATATTGAGAGAACTTTGTATTACTTTTGCTAAAGTGCAAATTGTGAGGTGCAGAATTCACTGGGAATTCAGAAGAAAGAAAAATCAGTAAGAAATGAAGTGAATGACTTTCATGCAGGAGGAAGGACTTGATATGAGTTTTGAAAACTAGATGGGCAGACAAAACATCAGAGAGTCCTTCCCTTTATGGTGCCTGTTTAAAGAACCTCAGAAAACCTGTTTGCTAGGGCTGGAATATTGAGCAGCCAATTGACAAAAGTTGACAAAAGCATATTTGTCAAATAAGAGGCAATAAACCAAGAAAAGGACCACGGACTTCTCAGGAGATCCAGGCTCGGACCCTGAACTGATACAGGTTAGGGCCCTAGGAGCTGGGAAGACAGAAATTCAGAAGAGTGTAGGAATCAGGAACAAACTGTGGTCGGAACTAGACTCGACACCCAAAGGAGAGAGATTCTTCAGAAGTCCGATCTTTTCTAATAAAGAGATTATTCTTATGGCATTAAAAAAAATCAGTGTGTGTATATGTATGTGACAGGCTGACTCAGTTTCAGAAGAGTACGGAGAGGTTGAGGGGAGCCAGATATTAATTCCTTTTTAATGCTTTTCCTCTTTCTCCCCATTCGTGGGTCTACAACACACACACACCCACACACACACACACACACACACACACACACACTCCATACTTCAGCACTGGCAGTGAATTAGGTGCTTATCTAAAATTTCCAGGCTATACTGGGTGGAGCCCGGAAAGTGACACGAAGCTTGGCAGATGTTGAAGACAACTGAAATTTCCATTGGCTGACGGAGTTCATACTTACCTGCTGTGCTCTCGTAGTTGCTTTTAGAATGTTTTCTGGCTCCAAAGAAATCAAATCCAATTTGTTACCAAGCAAATTGACATTTCCAGGCTGCAGCCATTCTAGAAATTCTAAACATCATTTAAAAGAAGATTTCAATCTCACTGTGTTTCTACTTTCTCGAAGGAGCTGTTGGGCCCCTTTCTACCTGGCATGGAACAAAGGTACAGTTTAATGTTGTTTGTTGTTTTTTCCTATTAAATCTAGGATTGATATTTTTGGTAGTTTGTCATCACTTCTTCTGGTGAAAAGGGACAAGAGCTGGGAGCTCTTGGTGGGGGGTGGGGTGGAGTTCATGATGCTAAATAATTTTTGGAGGTATGGTACGCACTGTCTCAGGAACATCTGGTTCAGCACTCACCCAGTTATTTGGGTACTGAGTGAGCTCGCCTTCTCCAAGCCCTGCATGCCCTGACTATTCTCTCTGCCAGAGCCCCCGCTCTCCCAGCCCTGTCCACTGCATCCAGTCCCATCACTGGTGAGATCTCCTTTTCTGTAGATTTCCCCTATTTTTCCCTCTAGCTGCCAACAGATCTTGTCTTTGGAAATTTCCTTCAGCCAATCCATTACCTGCTGCTTTGGTCAGGTCTCAGAAAATTTTAAGACCAGAAGAGATGATAAAGATTCAGGGCTAGAAGAGCCTGGAGGACACAGGGATTGGAGTTGAGGGGTGCTGGACTAAAATGTACCCTAAATTCATGGCTCAAAATTGCAGTCAATCTTACAGCTGCTAACAGTAAAATGCTGACTTCTTGAGAGCATATAGAAGTTTTTGTTGACCGGATTAGAACTTAATTGCTGTTTATAACTTGTTTCTATGGGGCAATATCAATTGCAGTTCAAATAAACCTTGAGATTATCACCTAGTCATAATGGGGGCACTATTTGTAGGATACTTAATTTTTAAAATGTCAATGTAGCATTTGGATACATACTAGTTCTTGAATAAACATGAACCCATTCTAAACATATTCTAAGGATGATGGCTTGTATAAATCCTAGGTTCATATAAAAGGTTTAGTAGGAATCATTGTTGCAGGCCTCTAATTGCCATGTTCAGTTATTTTTTCAACAAATATAGATTGGAATCTTCACGTGTGCTAGGCTCTAAGGGTGCCATGGCAAATTCACACAGGCAGGGTTCCTTCCCTCATGTGACTGTCAGTTATTTTTAGGGAATACAGATATTAATTAATCTCATAGTTCAAGATGAAATTAAAAGTTTGAGAAGTCACATAAAAGAAAGGTACATGGAGCTATGAGAATGTGTAATAGTAGGGTTTGACCTTCTTTGTGGAGTTAGGGAAGATTTCCCAGTGGAAATGATGATTAAACTGAGATCAAAAGGAAGAGAAGACTTAAGTCTGTGAAGAAGGCAGCAGGAAGTATATTCTAGGTATAGGGTTGCATTTGAGGAAATGAAAGAAGGCCAGGTGTCATTAGGAGAAAGAACAGAGTTCAAAACCAGCTGGAGGAATTGATGCTGGGTTCCTGTGTGTCACACCTCAGGCCATGTTAGAAATTTTGTTCTTTCTCCTAGGAGCAATGGGAAGATATGATGCACTTTTTAAAAGGTGGCATACACACACACACACACACACACACACACACACACACACACACACACACACACAAGGGTGCTCATACCAACTGGTGACATCAAAATCAAATTTGTACTCTAGTACGAATGTCAGCTTCCTGGTTTTGATACTGTAATACATTAACAAAATGACATACATGTCACTATGGGGAGAAGCTAGTTGAAGGGTCCAGGGGACCCGACTATTAATGCAAACTCCTGTCAGTCTATTTTATTTTTATTCTATACTTTATTTCAAAATAAAAATTTGTAAAGAGTTGATGAGAGAGAAAGATGTGAGGTTTACAGTGAAAAGATGTGCTGGAATAATGTCTTTTTTTTCTTTAGTTTTTTGTCCTGCCGGTGCAGCCTAACTGTTACCACCATCATTAATAGTCATGCGTACCAGAAGTACTTCTCATAAGTCTAACTCAAAACTCCCAAGGTCTTGCCACTAGAAGAAACTTTCCAGAGGCAATCTGGCAAACTTAAATTGTAGTTGAACAATTTTTTAAAAATTGGTTACCTTTCGCTCTACCAGAAATAACTGATCCAAAAATATAATGACAATTACACCAATTACAATGGAGGCAGCCAGTAGAAAATGTCTAAGAGTTAGCTGAGCATACATAGGACCATTATGAAAACGGGAATTTTCAAAACCATAATAATTGCGATGATCTGAATAAATGGAAATATGCCCTCTGCTTTTGCATAGGATTAAAAACAGCAAAACAGAGCTCCTTAAGTTGCTTTTTTATACTTATATGCACCATTAATTTGATTTTTCCTTTCATGGACTTGTGACCCTTGGAAACAGTTTCACATCTTTTGTCTACATAGTAATTGGATATCACAGGGAACAGAAGGTAAATTTTCTCACTTTGAAATAAGGCATTCCTCCATTCACCAGATATTTACTGGGCACCTACCATGCAGCAGATACCATATGTCTCAGCCTTCCTGGAGTTTACATCCCTGTGTACAGAATACTGAACATCTTCCCATTTAGAACAAAACTGAAATAATCTAATTAAGAAATTACGGATAAGGAGGGGAGGGTATAGCTCAGTGGTAGAGCGTATGCCTAGTGTGCATGAGGTCCTGGGTTCAATTCCCAGTACCTCCATTAAATAACATAATATTTAAAAAAAAAAACAAAACTAAAGTCAAAATTCCATGACAAGCAAAATATCAAAATTTTAAACACAGGCAGCCACACTACCATGCCACAATACCAAGTCTGAGGCAAAAGGAAAAAAGTATGTCCATATATAAATGTTTTTGTTTATTTTTTAATGGTTTTTTTCCCCAAGAACATTAAACTATTTGAAAAATATTGAAATGTTGAAGAGCAGCTATACTAAAATTCTCATCATTTTAAGTTTAAATATTTTATTTAGACCCAAACCAGAATTTCCTTAAATTTTATTTTCCTGGTTTTAATGGAATCAAATTCATGAATATAGTTTTAAAATCAACTTTTGAGGAAAACTAATGATTAAAAAATACACAAAAGCATGTATATAGGAATGTACATTTAAAAATTTTGCCTTAGTTTCCAATATGAGCCCACTGAGAAACTGAGAAACAAAGATATGGTTAGTTCAACCTGTTTCACACAGTGCATGCAAAGCCTTAGAATCTAACCCAGAACTTTGGCTAAGTGGTTCTTTCAATCAAGTAAAACAAAAATATTTAGAGAGGTTTTCTTTTTATATTTTTAGGCTCATTATTCTAAAAACTGTATCAGTGCTTACTTTGGCTTGGTGTCAGATATTTGTATTCATACGAACAAAGATATAAGAAATTCATGAAGCTTAATATGGATTCCTTTCTATCAAAGACATTTAAAACATATATTTGGAAACATTTCAAGTTTACTGTGAACAGAATTATCAGGGACTTGGGATAGAAGTGACAATCTGCTTCAAAGAAATGTCTCGTACTCAAGTATGGAGCTATGCCTTCTCAATTTAAAATTGGAAGATGAACTATACTTCAATCAAAAATAAATATCAACTACAATTCGATAATAAAATAAAATAAAATTGGAAGCAGCTTCCCTGTTACTGCACTTCCAAAAACAAACGCAAAAGTGTCACACATGAGCTCCAAATCAATTTTAAGTGAACACATAAAAGAATTTTGACCACTTTTGATTTAGAGTGGAATGTAGAATTAACAACAGGCACCCAGATTTTGTACCATAGATATGCCAAACCCCTCTTGGCAAAAATTATATTCCATTATGATTCAGAGTTGCATCATAAACAGAGTCTACTCAAAGACTGGGGTTTGAGAAATGTGATGGTTGCAGTTTTCTTGTAAAAAACAGGAAAGAGCCAATGCTTCCTTCCTGCTGGAGCTTTTTATAAATCATTCAAATTGAGTGCGGTTGGTTAATTCTTTAAGTAGCTAGCTCTTAACGACATACTACATTATAGGGAGTCTGCTATGTGGTGGGAGAGAGAAGCAGGGTTTTTAAAAGCATCTGTGTGCAAGTAAACAGGGCAGTGCATAGGTACTAGGTTATAGTGTTCTCCAGAATAATCATACACATTTATACGTTAAAAAGTGCTAGATTTATGGTAAGTAGCCTGATCAGGGTAATCATTTTTTAATGTATAGAAATAGCAAATCACTACGTCGTGTATCAGGGACTAACACAGTGTTGTAAGTCAATTATACTTCAAAAACAAACTCAGAGAGAAAGAGATCAGATTTGTGTTTATCAGAGGCAGGTGGTGGAGAGAAGGGGAATTGAAAAGGAGAGCCAGGGATTCCTGAAACTCAATATGGAATTTGGCTTCTAAAAGAGATTCTAAAATAAATCGGGAGTTTGAGATTTGCAGATGCTCCTCTATAGAAACTATATAGCAGATATAACTACTATCTATAAAATAAATAAACACAAGTTTCTACTGAAGAGCACAGGGAACTATATTCAATATCTTGTAGTAACCTATAATGAAAAAGAATATGAAAAGGAATATATGTATGTATATGTATGACTGAAACATTATGCTGTACACCAAAAATTAATGCAACATTGTAAACTGATCGTATTTTGATTTAAAAAAATGTTTAATTAAAAATATAAAAAATAAGATAAAATAAAAAAGATGTAGAGGACGGAAGCAGAATCAACTGGAACTATTGAGTCACACATCCTCTTCCTCCCCCTGACTAATGCCTTGTAGGAGCAACTAAGTCATTGGAGGGGAACGAGCAACTGTCATTCTTTTAAGATACCCAGAGAGAAGCAACGACAGACTATGGGCAGGCAAGTGAGGGGTGGCATTAGCTCTCTGGGAAAGCAGAAAAGAACCCTCCACCAGCAGGTGGTGCATTTAAAGGAGGGGAGGAAAATGCCATCAGGTAAACACCAAGCTTGGATCACTTGGAGGGAGGGGCATAAAAAGTATTTTAATTGAAAAGAGGTTTTGAGCTGTCAATGCCAAATGATTCTCTCTTGAAACCTAACATCATCCAGCTTTCCTCTCAAAATCTTTGCCTTTTTGTAGCCTCGAACAAACAACTGAGATCCTGTTGTGTCTCTCGCCTGCTGAAGCTGCCGGTCTCAAGGAAGGGATCAATTTTGTTCGAAATAAGAGCACTGGCAAAGATTACATCTTGTATAAGAAAAAGAGCCACCTGAGAGCCTGTAAGAATATGTGCAAGCACCAAGGAGGCCTGTTCATAAAAGATATCGAGGATTTAGATGGAAGGTACCAAGAGTCCTTTGCTTTCTCCCTGAGGACCCTTTATACAGTTAGATTTGAGCTCGTTGAGAAATTTTAAATGAACCAATCAGCAAATTATTCCCCCTAACAAGTGCATAAATTTTCCTTATGCTCCTTTAGGGCATCTCTCTGATCTCAGAATGTTAGGACCTTTACTTAATTTTTTTCTGTCTCTCTTAAGAACTCTAATTTAAAATTTATTCCTAGCTTGATAGAAGTGAAACTTCAAAGATACGTGTGTCTGAGTGGGTGGGTGTGTTTACTGGCTTTGATATTCAAAGACTCAGGCTTCTTTTGGTTTCCTTTCCTACTTCCCCAGAGTGGGTACTTTTCTAAACACTGCTGGAGAGCAGATAGAATTTCCCTGACAGCCTCGTTGTGATTAAAAACCAAAAATGGTAGAGCTCACCCCCACCTCCACTGTACCTGCCCTGAACAGTGGCTCTTCTGATCATTTCTTGGAAGAACTCAGTGCGAGTAGCCCCTCCTCCCAGTTCAGAAGCAGTACCAGGACAGGACTGTCAAAGAGAGAGCAGCACTGCCTGACAGAGCCACGGAGGGTTCGGGGTGGGGGATGCTTTGCCAGTCTGATGCTCAACACCAGCAACAGTCTAGAGTACTTGCACACAGATTTGCTTCACTGCATACTTAGTTTCAAGGGCCTAGCCCACACATTATAAGGTTTTTAAATGTTAAACGCTATTGCATCTGTAGCTTGCTTGGCTCCCTAGACAGGGTTGCTAGATTGGGCAAATAAAAATAGAAGGCACCCAGTTAAACTTGCATTTCAGATAAGCAACGAATATATTTTTTAGTATAGATATATTCCAGGTATTGCGTGGGGGACACCTTTAGCTGGCAACTCCACTCTCGGAGAACCTCTTGGTTATTAGCTGACAGCCCCGTTTTGAGTCCCTTCCATCTTCCCAGTGGATTCAAGTTAGGGAAGCCTCAGACGTGGGCAGTTCAGTCACTTGTGAGCTTCTGCAGGCACTGGCGGACCTTGAAGTCTTCCAACTGCTGCAGAACTAGCACTCTGCTTTTCCTTTCTCCTTTTCTCTCCTTTGGTACACACTTAGCCGGCGGTTTAAGGAACTGTCACCATTTCATGATTAAGAGCGTGGTCATTCCTCTTAGACTGCCCGGTTAGAAGGCTGGCCCTACCACTTACCAGCTCCACGACCTTGGAAAAGCTTCTTAGCCTTTCTGGGCCTCCGTCCTCGCCTCTATAAAATGAAAGTAATACCTACTCTGTCCGGCTGCTGAGAGGATTGATTTCAAACACTTGAAACAATGTCTGGTGTATGATAGTACTCAACAAATGTCAGTTACATTTACTGGTATTATTACTCTGCCATGAGATTCTTGTGTCGCTTAGGAACAGAGGTTGTTTACAGGAATTCAGATTGTTCTTGAACTTAGCTGGCCCATTTTAGCTTAGAGATTGCTTTGCCGCAGACTGGCATCATTCTCTCTTTTACCCAAAGCCTTGGAGATGATTGATCCTATTGTCACCCTGTTGTGTTGGCAGGCTAACCTGGAGATCACACGCTGAGCTCCCCTGCCCATGAGGAACCAGGTTCTCTCAGTTTTAGTCCACGATGCAGCTCACCAAACATTTATACGCTGAAATTCCATCCCCGGAGTAATTTACATGCTATCCTCCCCCATCCACCTCTCCTCCCCCAAGGACTGGTTCTCCTTGGGTTCAACATGCAGCAATTCACCCGAGGAATCTCTTTTCCCCAGAATACAGGCAAGAGTAATGACCTACCTATTCTGATCTCCCTACCTCAGCCATTTTTCTTCTTCGTACATAATCAAGACCAGCCGCTCTCGTAAGCTGCGGTTCTCGTGTTTTACCTCTAACAGTTTTCACAGCCTCTCTTGCACATGAAGCTGTCACCCCCTGCTATCTACCTGCTGCCTGTGAACAGTTAGGATCCTGCCACATTTTCCCTAAAATGACCCAGAATGCTGAATAGCTGCATTTGGAATGCTCAGATTTTGAAAGGTTGTTGGCTATTCATTGAGAAAGGAGATATTACAAAATAATCTATAAATCGAAGTGTGGAATATGTTTTTGCCTTATTACTAGAAAAGAGCATTTTAAAATTAATGATATAATGAAGCTGGAAAAAAATTGCATAGTTTACTGTTAAAATAGATGTTGTTAGTTTAAAAAAAATCTGATGTTTCTGGTTTGACACCTATTTGTAAAAAAAAATGCTTTAACTATTAAAAATTAGACTTCACTAGAGACACTGTCAAAATAGATGAGAAATGAAACTTTCATGCCCAAGTTTCAACTACCACATCCCCCTCAACGATCTGGTGAAAAAGAAAAAAAATTACTAAGTCTCCAATTTTGCTACAATCTGATTCTCATTCTGAAAGAGGGTTGCCAGAGTTAGCAAATTAAAATGCAGAACACTCAGTTAAATTTCAATTGCAGATAAGCAACAAATTTCTAGTATATGTCAAATATTGTGTGAGAAGCAGTTTTAAATTATTTATCTATCTGAAATTCATATTTAACTGGGCATCGTGTATTTTATCTAGCAACCATGTTCTGAAATCTTTCCTCATTTTGGCCCCTAGTTGGATCTTCTCCAGCCTGGCTTGTATATGAAGAACCCTCCCTAAAGATGGCTTTATTCTGATGGTTTTTGATGACTTCCAACACATATTATGTTATGACATGTTGTTATCTTCACTTAAAATTACCTACTGAAGATTAGTCTGTTTTTCCTTGGATATTTGAATATTAGCTATTAATAGTTTTCCTTTCAGGTATTTTGTGTTCAACCAATTACAGTTATTTAATTTCATCACAAAATAATGCATTTAATCCTAAAAAATGATGTTTTCACTATTTCACAAACCTAAGTACAATTTTTCATCCAGGTCTGTTAGATGCACAAAGCACAACTGGAAGTTAGATGTGAGCACCATGAAGTATATCAATCCTCCAGGCAGCTTCTGTCAAGACGAACTGGGTAAATACCATCAATGTCGATCAATGTGTTCCGCTATTACTGCTACTGGGGGGTCATTCTTGTCCACTTGTTTCTAATCTCACTTGAAGCTTTGGATACATTCTGATTTTAAACGGTGGACACTGGGTCTTTTTAAAATAATTAGCACTGAACATTCTAAGCAGGCTTTCTCCCAAAGATCTCCTCGTTCATTAGACTAGTCTAGCTAAAGCTTTGTAAATTTTGTTAATCTTTTCAAAGGACTAACTTTTGATTTCATTAATTTTCTCGTTTTTCTAGTCTCAAGTCCATTTATTTCAGCTCTAATGTTTTTGTTGTTGTTATTTCCTTCCTTCTACTTGCTTTCGGTTTGGTTTGCTCCTCTTTTTTTAATTCTTAAGGTGGAACGTTGGGGTTTTTATTTGAGATTGTTTTTATTTTAGGCGTGTCCAGATCTAATTTCCTGTTATGCACTGCAACTGTTTTAGCTGCGTTTCATACGTTTCAGCATGTTATGTTTTCATTTTTATTCGTCTCAAAGTATTTGCTAATTTCTCTTGTGATTTCTTTCTTAAACCATTTGTATTTAGAAGTATGTTGTTTAATTTCTACATTTTTGTGAATTTTCCAGCTTTCTTCTCTTATTGGTGTCTAATTTCATTTCATTGTGGTCAGAGACAATGCTTTGTATGACTTTGTATACTTTGATCCTTTTAAATTTATTGAAATTTGTTTTATGGCCTAACATGTGGTCTCTACCGGAGAATATTCCACATGCACTTGATAAGAATATGTATTCTGTTGTTGGGTGGTGTGTTCTGCCTATGTTTGTCAGGTCTGGTTGGTTTACACTGTTCTTTGAGTTGTCTGTTTCCTTGTTGACCTTCTATCTGGTTGTTTCACCTTCCAGTCATCTTTTTAGGCATACTTTTGCAAATAATTACAGTTATTCTATAGATTATTTTTATTTCATGTTGTCTTAATAATATTATTATATTAGTCAGATTATGTTAAATTCTGTATATACATAATTTTAAAGTATATTTTACACTAAGTATTAACTTAAATAATTTATTTAGCTATTTCTCTGTTGTTGGAATTTAGGCTGTTTGTAGTTTCTTTTTCCATCAAAGCCGAAACTGTGATCTTTGTGCTTAAGAGCTTCTCTTTGTTTGGAGTTGTTTCTGTAAGATAGTTGAATTATTAGCAGAAGGGTATGACTAACTCATGCTTTTACCCATATTTAACACCTCATACATCTTGGTAAAGATGGGCTTCACATGGGCGGGTAGCCTAACTGAAAAAGGCACGACTATAAAAATAACAGAAGAAATATAGAATCTTTTTGTGACCTGGCGACTGGTGGCACTTCTCGACTCTTCAAATAACACTTCAAAAGTACAGCTTAAAGGGCAACCTCCCCCCAACCCACACACAAATCTGGTGAATATGATTTCCTCAACACCAAAGATTTTTGCTAAATGGAGGACACCATAGACAAAGTTAAAAGACATATGATCATTTGGATGATTATTTTGCAATGTTTACAACCAACATGGGTCTATTATCTAACATATAGGAGGAAGTAATGTAAATTGACAAGAAAAAGATAGGAAACCCAATTATAAAAAATGAAAAAAGGACATGAACTAGCATTTTAGGAAAAATCCCCAGAGGTCAATAAGCACATGAAGATACACTCAACTCATTCATTATCAGAAAACTGCAAACTAAAGCAATGAGGTGTTACTTTACATCTTTTTGACTGATAAAAAGTTAGAAACTGAGATGATGCCAAATGCGTCAGAGATATAAAGCTACAGGAATCCTCATGCATGTTGTGGGTGTGTGGCTGCTGCATCCATGCTGGAGAGTATCTTGACAGTGATTAGTCAGAGGGGGTTTATGAATACACCATGAACTGTCCATCCCACTCCTGTTTATATGCTGAAGAAATCTTGTTGTGGAACCTATGGGTCCACCACTGGGAGAGTGAGTCAGTAAAACGTGCTGGACCGTGGAATAGTAAACTGCAGTTAGAGGAAGTGGTCTCGATGTACATGTGGCAACATGAATGAATCTTAAAAAACATAGTAATGAGTGAAAAAAGAGTAAGAAACAGATTGGAGACCCAAAGCTATTTATATACATTAAAGATGCACCCATACAATATTATACACATTTCGCACAAACATTCAAATGGTAGCCTGAAGGGGAGGTGAGGGAAATCAGAGTGGG